CAGCCAACGGCCCAAGGCGAGAATCCACAGAACCAAAAAAAGGCATGGCTGCGGATCGCTCTTGCCCAAGAGGTTTGGCCGTGGACTGCCCGGGGGGCGCTGTTCCCCCGCCCCGTCGCCTTCTCGCATGGTGCGCCCCTGGCACGCCACCGCGGTGATGACCCTGCCGTGCGAGAACGGGAAGCCCGTCCGGGTGACCTTGGAGGTGCGGAACGTGAACGGCTCCGACGTGCGAGGCTCGATGAACACCAGCGGGCCCGTCAGGTCCCCTGTGAGGGTGTCGTCGTGGCGCTTCAGGTCGTCCACGAAAGGCGCGCTCGCGTACTTCTCCATGCACACCCAGAACCCCAGCGGCAAGTGCTTCAGATAGATCCTCTTCTCCCCGTCTCTCTCGGCCCTCTCGACGTCGCCACGATCCCGAGGGTCCACGACGACGTGCACGATCTGCCCCTCGGCATCCTTGACGAGGCCGCTTTTGAGGCCCAGCGCCTCCAGGAGCCGGATCCGCATGCCCACGTGCACCGGGAGCAGTCCGTGCACGCCACCAGCGTTCTTCGGGCTGGCACAGTTCATCATCTTGGCGGCGTCCTTCGTGCTCATCGTCGGGGCAGATCTGTCGGCGGCCTGCACGAGGAAGAGGGGCTTCTTCAGGACGTCCGCGCCCCGCTGGGCTCGCATACTCAGCCAGCGCGCCACGGTGTCCCAGTAGGACCCAATCATGTGGCCGTTCTGGAACCTTTCCTCCCGGAGTCTACGATCATCGGGTTTCAGCTGCATGGCGTTCCACGTGGCCCCGATGGCCGGCGGGACCTGCTTCCCCAGCTTGCGCAGGAACGCCATGAGGTCCCTGAGTTTCGGTTCCTTCAAGCGTTGGACGCCTGGAGCTCGAAGCACAGCGGCGTGTTGCAGAAGAGCTTCATCACGGCCTGGTACTCTGGAGCGAGGTTGATGCCCGCCGCCGCCAGTTCCTCGAAGCTGGAGATAAGGGACACTTTGCCTCCCGTCGGCTTCAGCTGCAGGAAGTCTCCCAGGTGGATCACGATGGGCATGCGGCCGAAGGCGCCGCCGACCTGGTCGTACTCCCGCTCCTCCGCGCCCCACTCGGCCTTGCGCCCCAGGTAGGACCGGAATGCCAGCATGTTGTACAGGTTGGGCGAGATCATGCTCACCTCTTCCAGGATCAAGAACCTGACCGCCTCCCACGTGTCCTGCAGCGCCCTATCGATGGAACTCCCTATGGGGCCACGAAGCGCTGTACTGGGTGGGGGAGACGCATGCGAACTGCGCCACTGGGGCCTTCGGTGGAACTCCCTATGCGGCCACGAAGCGCTGTCCTGGGCGGGGAAGACGCATGCGAACTGCGCCAATGGGGCCTTCGGTGGGGCTCCCCATGGGGCCACGAAGCGCTGTTCTGGGCGGGGGAGACGCAGGCCTTCGGTGGAGCTCCCTATGGGGCCACGAAACGTGTAAGGGGTGTGCCGAAGCTGATGGCGATGATTGTGACGATGACGGAGATGACGATGACGACGATGGTGACTGCGACGATGACGATGATGACGACAATGACGATGCTGATGGTGATGATGATGTTGCTGATGATGATGATGATGATGATGATGATGATGGAAAGAGGGAGGAGGGGGAGGAGGAAGGAGAGGAGCGCGGGGCACCGTCTCGTCAAAACGAGGACCCAACACCACAGGATGGTTGCGTGACGATGACGAGGAGGAGGGAGGAGGGGAGGAGGAGAGGAGGAGGAGAGGACGCGGGGCGCTGTCTCTTCAAAACGAGGACCCAACACCACAGGATGGTTGGGAAAAATAGCAAAATCAAAAATACACAACGCTTCCTTGCACCAAGGGCGCCAAACACTGTGCATGATTGGTTTCTTGCTTTGCAACACGGAGGAGGAAAGGAAAGGAGGAGAAGGAGGGGGAAAGAGGAAGGGGGAGAAGGAGGAGGTGCTGGGGGGGGAGGCCGCAGTATATATCTATATATATATATATAGAGAGAGAGAGAGATGTAAATGTATATATATGTAAACACACACACACACACATTCCAAAAAATGTTTGCACTTAGGGTGCCTTACTTCTGCTCGACGGAAGTCTCCCGTGGCTTCGGCCTTTGCAACTATGTGGCCGCCGTCGCCGCCCCGTCGCCGTTCCGTCGCCGCCCGTCGTCTGGGCCGTGTCTTCGGTCTGGCGGCTATGTGGCCGCCGTCGCCGCCCCGTCGCCGCCTCGTCGCTGCCCGTCGTATAAGCCGTGCCTTCCGTCTGGCAGCTATGTGGCCGCCGTCGCCGCCCCGTCGCCGCTTCGTCGCCGCCCCGTCGCCACCCGTGCATTGCTACCCCGTGATATGCATTGCATTGCATTGCATTGCATTGCGCTGCAATGCTCGCATTGCTGTATTACTTCTTTGTTTTGTTTGCATTAGTTGACAACTCGCTACGATGCATGACTGAATTTCCCATTACATAAAAAATCCGTTCTAAAAAGGGATCATCTGCCCCCCCTACGGATGTGCAATTTACATATGGTTCGACCCCCTCGTGGATTCAAAATATGAGCTCATACCCTCCCAGCCAAGCCAGGATCGACCCCCGCCTCACCCCTTGCAAACAATACCACGTGCGCACACTCTTCACCTTCAAAAAACGTGTTCCAAAAAAACCTGTGCAAAAGACGGAACGCGCACACGCGCGCGTCGTCGCGCGCGCATCCCGGAGTGGTTCAAGAACCGTAGGTTTCGCATAGATTTCAAAATCGAGCGTCCCGAAAACATGCAAATTAGCATGACAAAGGACCCAACCAGATGCAGCTGCGAGTAACGCAAGGGAGATGAGACGAAGGAGGGGGGCGCGCAAACTCCGAGTAGCGCACACAATATAGCCTTCTGCCACGAAACGTGTGAGGGGTGTGCCGACATGAGTCGGGCGGACGCATGCGAACTTTACCATTTGGGCCCTTCCGTCGAGCTCCCTATGGGGCCACGAAACGTGTGAGGGGTGTGCCAGAATGGGGCGGCGGTGGCATGCGAACTTTCCCAGCGGGGCCTTAGGTGGAGCTCCTGGACCACGAAACATGCGAGGGGTGTGCCAGAGTGGGACGGCGGTGCCATGCGAACTTTCCCACAGGGGCCTTCGGTGGAGGTCCTTATAGGATCACGAAACGTGTGAGGTGTGTGCCCGCATGGGGCGACGGTGCCATGCGAACTTTTCCTACTGGGTGCCTTCGGCGGAGCCCCCTTATGGGACCACGAAACGTATGAATGGGGGGGCCGAAATGGGGCGGCGATGCAATGCGAACTTCCCCACAGGGGCCATAGGTGGAGCTCCCCATGGGACAACGAAACGTGTGAGGGTGTGCCGAAATGGGGCGACGGTGCCATGCGAAAATTGGAGCCTTCGGTGGAGCTGCCTATGGGGCCACGAAACGTGTGAGGGATGTGCCAGAATGGGGCGGCGGTGCCATGCGAATTTTCCCACTAGGGCCTCAGGTGGAGCCCCTCCATGGGGACACGAAACGTGTGAGGGGTATGCCAGCATGGGGTGGCGGTGCCATGCGAATTTTCCCACTGGATGCCTTCGGTGGAGTTCCTTATGGGACAACGAAACGTGCGAGGGGTGTGCCGAAATGGGGCGGCGATGCCATGCGAATTTTCCCACAGGGGCCTTAGGTGGAGCCCCCTTATGCGGCCACGAAGCACGAAACGTGTGAGGGGTGTGCCGACATGGGGCGGCGGTGGCGGCGGTGCCATGCGAACTTTCCCACTTGGGACTTCGGCGGAGCTCCCTATGGGGCCACGAAACGTGTTGAGGGTGTGCCGAAATAGGGCGGCGGTGCCATGCGAGCTTTCCCACTGGCCCTAGGTGGAGCTCCCTATGGGGCCACGAAACGTGTGAGGGGTGTGCCGACATGGAGGCGGCGGGGGAGGGGGATGGGACAGCGGGAGGTGAGGAACGCAGGACGCTGACTCGTCAAAACGAGGGCCCAACACAGGATGGTTGGGAAAACAACGGTTTCGCAACACGGATGTTCAAATTAGCATGGCGAACGATCCGACCATATGCAGTTGTGAAGACTGCGGTTGAAAATATCGTCTTCAGTGGAGCCCCCAGATTAGGGCCACGAAAGGCTGTACCGGTCGGGGCAGACGCATGCGAACTACTCCACTGGGACCCTCGGTGGAGCTCCTTATGGAGCCACTGAACGCTGTACTGGGTGGGGGAGACGCATGCGGGCTGCGATTCTGGGACCTTCGGTGGAGCTCCCTATGGGGCCACGAAGCGCTGCACTCGGTGGGGGAGACGCATTGCGGGCTGCGCCCCTGGGACCGTCAGTGGAGCTCCCTACAGAGCCACGAAACGCTGTACTGGGTGGGAGAGACGCATGCGGGCTGCGCCACTGGGATCTTTGGTGGGGCTCCTTATGGGACCACGAAACGCTGTACTGGGTGGAGGAGACGCATGCGGGCTGCGCCACTGGGACCTTCGGTGGAGCTCCCTATAAAGCCACGAAACGCTTTACTCGGTTGGGGAGACGCATGCGGGCTGCGCAACTGGGATCTTCGGTGGAGCTCCCTACGGGGCCACGACATGCTGTACTGGGCGGGGGAGACGCATTCGGGCTGCGCCACTGGGACCTTCGGTGGAGCTCCCTATAAAGCCACGAAACGCTTTACTCGGTGGGGGAGACGCATGCGGGCTGCGCAACTGGGATCTTCGGTGGAGCTCCTTATCGGGCCACGAGACATTGTACTCGGTGGGGAAACGCATGCGGGCTGCGCCCCTGGGGAGCGGAGAGGAGAGGAGAGGAGAGGAGAGGAGAGAGGAGAGAGGAGAGAGGAGAGGAGAGGAAAGCGGGGCGCTGTCTCTTCAAAACGAGGACCCAACACAACATGGTTGGAGCAAAAAGGACGAGGCCGGTGATACCGGGGCAGGGGCAGGGGAAGAAGAAAGGGGTACGCTTTCGGAGCTGGTGCCAGGTGGTGCGATCGCCTTCATGCCGCGGCTGCACACGATGGAGCCGCAGGAGCCACACCGCAGCTCGAATATCGCCTCGCCGTCCTGCCGAAGGGGTCGTCCTGCTCCTTATCCTTCCCTCACCCCGCCCTTCACGGGCTTTACCTGGCAGCTCGATCCACGGCACTAGTCCCAGGGGGCGTCCTCTCCCCCTGGCAGTTCCTTCCCCGACTTCTCCCCTATTCCGTGGCACAGCCCGCCCTGGCACCTCCTGCTCCTCGTACTCCTCCCCCTCCTCCTCACCCCCCTCCTGCTCCTCGTCCTCCTCCCCCTGCTCCTCCCCCTCCTCCCCCCTTTCCTCCTCCTCCTCCTCCTCCTCCTCCTCCTCCCTCCCCCGTTTCCTCCTCCTCCTCCTCCTCCTCCTCCTCCTCCTCCTCCTCCTCCTCCTCCTCCTCCTCCTCCTCATCCTCCGTTGGCACCTCCCCTCCCCCCTCTCCACCTCCTTTCCCCTGCCCTTCATCTTATCCATCCCCTTCCCTCCGTTCAATGCGTGTGCTGGCTTCGGATAGACATCCTGTTTGTTCTAGCGGCGGGGGAGTTAATGTGAGTAGCAACATTGGACTGAGAGGGTCTTGTGCAGCCGCCAGCTAGCCTCTGAGCCTGAGCCTTCTGGCGGCACAAGAAACGCCGCCGAGCCCGTGCCTGCTTCACAACACCGCTCCTTGACACAGCTACCTGAGAGGATGCACGCAGCATGATCAAGGTTGCTGCTGCACGAGCAGAAGCAGGTGCACGACATACGCTGTCCCGCGCGGTGCTCGCGCAGCGTGGAGATAACGTGGTTGTCGGGGCCACGGACATTGAGATGCGTCTCCTCTGGCCAGCTTCTCACCCCGGATCGCCGTCTGACGGCCCCGGCGCCTCAAGACGGCCTCCGGACGCCGAAAGGCTTCGAGATCGGCATCCAGACATCCCCGGGGGCACGGAGACGGATGGCCACGCTCGCCGCTCGTGGCGCACGGAGCTCTCACCAGCAGCAGGCAGGCCGAACGTGAGGGCCCTCCAAGGCTCGGTCCGCCGGCAGAGCCCTACGCGCCGCCACGCTGGTCCAGGGCAGGCCTCAGTTGCCCGGCGGAGGGGGAGGAGGAGGGGAGAAGAGCAGGCAGGCGAGGACGAGCGCGCAGGCGGGAGGCCGCGGCCAGCCAGGCGAGCGGGCAGGCCGGAGGGGGGGCCAGGCGGGGACAGCAGACAGGTCGACAGGCGAGCCATGCAGCGACGCCGCACGGCGTCCTCGCAGTCGTCGGCAAGGAGGTTCGGCTCCACGGGGCTGTCGAGGTCTGGCCCGCCCCCCCCCCCTCCTCGGCTCGTGCTCGTGCTCGTGCTCGTGCTCGTGGTCGTGGTCGTCGTCGTCGTCGTCGTCGTCGTCGTCGTCGTCGTCGTCGTCGTCGTCGTCGTCGTCGTCGTCGTCGTCGTCGTCGTCGCCGTCGTCGTCGCCGTCGTCGTCGTCGTCGTCGTCGTCGTCGTCGTCGGCTCGTCGTCGGCTGCTCGTCGTGGTCGTCGACGGCGTCGTGGTCGTCGGCGGCGTCGTCGTCGTGGTGGTCGTCGTCGTCGTGACCGTCGTCGCCGTCGTCGTCGTCGCCGTCGTCGTCGTCGCTGTCGTCGGCGTCGTCGGTCGTCGGCGGCGTCGTCGTTGATATTGTCGCGCAGGACACTCGGCGCGCGGACCCCGAAAATTTGGCGAAGGGCCCGACAATATGCTACTGTGGGTACCGCAGTTGTGAGCCCCGCCTTCGGTGGATCTCCCTGTGGGGCCACGAAGCTTGTGAGGGGCGTTCCGAAATGGGCGCGGTGACGCCATGCGAACCCTGCTACTGTGGCATTCGGTGGGGCTCCCTATGGGGCCACGAAACGTGTGAGGAGCGTGCCGAAATGGGTGCGGTGGCGCCATGCGAACCCTGCCACTTGGGCCTTCGGTGGAGCTCCCTGTGTGGCCACGAACCGTGTGAGGAGTGTGCCGACAAAGATTCGGTGGTGTAATGCGAACGCAGCTACGTGGGCCTTCAGTGGAGCTCCCTACGGGGCTACGAAACGTGCGAGGTGTGTGCCGAAATGGGCGCGGTGGTGCCATGCGAACGCAGCCACTTGGGCTTTCGGTGGGGCTCCCTATGGGGCCACGAAACGTGCGAGGGGTGTGCCGAAATGGGAAAGTGTTTCCATGCGAACGCAGCCACTTGGGCCTTCCGTGGGGCTCCCTATGGGGCCACGAAGCGTGAGAGGGGCGTGCCGAAATGGGCGCGATCGTGCCATGCGAACGCAGCCACTGGGAACTTCGGTGGGGCTCCCTATGGGGCCACGAAATGTTTAAAGGGCGTGCCGAAATGGGTGGGGTGGCGCCATGCGAACGCAACCCCCATGGGCCTTCGATGGAGCTCCCGATGGGGCCACGAAACGTGCGAGGGGTGTGCCGAAATGGGCACGGTGGTGCCATGCGAACGCAGCCATTTGGGCCTTCGGTGGAGCTCCCCATGGGGTCACGAAACGCGTGAGGGGTGTGCCGAGATGGGCGCGGTGGTACCATGCGAACGCAACCACTTGGGCCTTCAGTGGAGCCCCCTGTGGACCACGAACCGTGTGAGGGGTGTGCGGAAATGGGTGCGGTGGCGCCATGCGAACGCAGCTACTTGGGCCTTCGGTGGAGCTCCCCACGGGGCCACGAACCGTGTGAGGGGTGTGCCGAAATGGGTGCGGTGGTGCCATGCGAACGCGGCCACTTGGGCCTTCAACGAAACGTTTGAGGGTGTGCCGAAATGGGCATGCGCAGGTCAGAGGCAAGCAGGGGGAGGAGGCAGGGAGAAGGAGGAGAGGAGACGCGGGGCGCTGTCTCTTCAAAACGAGAACCCAACACAGGATGGTTGGGAAAAAGACGGTAGGGCTCTCGCCACGGAGGGGAGCAAGAACGTGGAGCACGATCCGCCCTCGTGGCCGACGCCTCTTGCTCCCCACGCTGACCTGGACGAAGTCTCCGAAACTCGGTTTCCCTCCCCCGAGCTCGCCCGCTGCAGCGCGCCTCCGGCTGTGGAACAGTCCCTGCCGACGCGACCACACACCCCACTCGGCCCGAACTCCCCCCGAGGCCCCGCCGACAAGACACGCTCCCACCATCGTTCCCGCCACACACACACACACACACACACACACCTGAACAGCCGTCATCACCTTGTCAACGTCCTTTCAAATAAAAACGAGCGTGACCCAACTTAAGGAACTCTGCTTACTGTGCAAGTATAGCCAGGCAAAGCAAACAAACAACAACGATATAGGTGTCCTCTCTGGCGGACTTGCTCTAGAGTGTTCTAGAATTCCACCGACCCTGGCGGCGTGTTTGAAGGGAGTCCTGGGGCGGTCGTTCACGGGTGGTCCAGGGAGACGCTTTTCTCTTCGAAGCTCTTCTCCCTGGCGGCCAACTGGGGCTCGTCAAGCTCGCCAGCCCGAGATGCATCGGCCCAGGTCGTAACAGAGTCTCCCCACCACACCTAGGCCCCGCAGAGTACTCGCGGGGCCAACCTTGGCACTCTGGGCAGCCTCACGGGCCGTCTTGCAGTCCCGCAGGTCGGCCCAGGAGGCCGAAATCTCTTGAATCCCTGGCGCTGCGCGTTCCCCTAAACCGCGAATGCTGCAAAAATGGGTTGAAGTGGTTTGAGAAAACACTTGGCTGAAATGCGCTGTCCATGGAAAATGTGCCGGCCGTGACGTGCCGTGCAGTGCTTCTGTCGTCAGAATGCGAAGAAACAAGCCGTGCTATGCCGTGCTTCTGTCTTCAGGATGCTAAAAAAAAAAAAAAGCCGTGCCGTGCCGCGCTTGGTCTTCAAGATGCAAATCCGTGCCGTGCCGTGCTTGGTCTCCAGAATGCGAAGAATCTGCCGTGCCGTGGCGTGCAGTGCTTCTGTCATCAAAATGCGAAAACTACCCTGACGAAGGACCCAACCACATTCAGCTGCGAGTAACGCGAGGACGGAGGGGGGCGCGAAAACTCCGAGTACCGCACGCGGTATAGCCTTCTGCCACGAAACGTGTGAAGGGTGTGCCACATGAGTCGGGAGGACGCATGCGAACGACGCTATTGGGGCCTTCTGTGGAGCTCCCTATGGCGCCACGAAACGTATGAGGGATGTGCCGAAATTGGGCGGCGGTGCCATGCGAACTTTGCCATTTGGGCCTTAGGTGGGGCTCCCTATGGGACCACGAAGCGTGTGAGAGGCGTGCCGAAATGGGGCGGCGGTGCCATGCGAACTGTCTCACAGGGGCCCTAGGTGGAGCTCCCTACGGGACCACGAAGCGTGTGAGGGGCGTGCCGAAATGGGGCGGCGGTGCCGTGCGAACTTTCCCACAGGGGCCTTCGGCGGAGCTGCCTGTGGGGCCACGAAAGTTGTGAGAGGCGTGCCGAAAAGGGGCGGGGTTGCCGTGCGAACTTTCCCACTGGGGCCTTCGGTGTAGCTCCCTATGGGGCAACGAAACGTGTGAGGGGCGTGCCGAAACGGCATGGGCTTGCGGAGGGCAGAGGAAGGGAGGGGATGAGTGAGGAGGGGGAGGAGGACGGAGAGGAGGGAGGAAGGAGGAACGCGGGGCGCTCTCTTCAAAACCAGGACCCGGCACCACAGGATGGTTGGGGAAAATGTGCCATGCCGTGCCGTGCGGTGCCGTGCTTGGTCCGCAGAATGCGGGAAACTCGCCGTGCCGTGATTGGTCTTCGGAATGCGGAAGATGCGCCGCACCGTGCCGTGGTATGCGGAAGAATGTGCCGTGCCGTGCGTGGTCTTCATAATGCCAAAGATGGGCCGTGCCGTGCCGTGCTCAGTTCCAGAATGCGAGAAAAAGACGGTATCATGCCGTGCCGAGCCGTGCCCGCGTGCTGTGCCATGCGCGTGCCGTGCGCGTGCCGTGCGCGTGCCCTGCGCTTGCCGTGCCTCGATTGATCTCCAGAGTGCGAGAAAGGCGCGGTGCCGTGCAAAGCCGAACTGGGCCGTGACCGCGTGCCATGCCCGCATGCCGTGCCGTGACTTGCCTGAACTCTTGGCGGCATGGGCGAACGCCACAAGATAGCCAAGCGGCGACGGTTCCATAACATAGGCGGGCAGATTGAGCGAAGCGATTGAACGGGGAAAGGAGGCTGGCAATAAAAGCAACCAACGAGAAGAACCAGGAGAAGGACGAGGGGGCAACACATCAGCAGGGGGAGGAAATCTAAGAGAGAAGGAGCGGGTGGGAGAGAGGGAAGGTCAGAAACAGAGGGACGATCAGGAGAAGGTGATCGACGGGCCAACGAGAACAGGGGGGGTGACGGGTGTTCGAAGAGACAGCCGAACGCCTCGAGGCGAGCCTCGACGGGCGAAAGAGACGGACACCTCCGAGATCAAGGAGGAGGGAGGAGCAGAGACGGAGCGAGAGAAGAGGAGGAGAGGGAACGCCTCCGTCGGCAACAGTGGCCCTAGGGCCCCCCTGAGCGCGCTTCGTCGCCTGACGCGAGCATGACCTCCAGGTCCTGGAATGTGACGTCCCCCCTTCCACAAGGGGGTGGGTGGGTCTCGAGGGCTCCCGCCCTTCCACAAGCTCAGTGCCATTGCGAGATGGCGGCCCGACCAGAGCTTACGCAGGCGACCCCACCCCAAGGACACACGCGCGCAAGTGCGCCACAGTCACGAGCGAGCTCCCCGATATTGAATTCATCAGAGACCCCTCAGCAACTCCAGAAAACCAACGGCCCGACACTTCTTGGGTGCTGCATCATGGGGAGGGCGACAAGTGCACCACTCGTGCCCCTCCAGGACCCCTCAGGTGAACAAAAGGTGGACCCTTGCTCCACCTCCCCATCTACCGCCACCCACTGCGCAACGCCCGAACTCCACAAACGCTGGCCCCGTCCAGGCCTGCGCGGGGAGACGCTCCAGGCCTGGAGCTTCGCACCCGGCCTCAGGCACAGAACGCAGCGGCACCCGTGGGGGGACCAGACGGATCACTTAGAGGCCTGGAAATGGGCACCAACACCAACACAGGGGGTTGCCTCCTCAGGGGGAAGGTGATCCTAGATTTCGGTGTTGGTGGTAATATTTCGGCCACCTTGGGAGCCCGAATATTACCACCATCGCCGAGATCGGCATCTTGCTCCCTCGGTGGAGGCAACCCGACGAAATTGGTGTTGGTGTCAACCTCTAGGCCTGCGAGCTGACTGCCCCCGGGAGGCACAGCGTGCGTCGGAGAGCCGCGGGGCGATCGGGCGCCCACTCCTGCCACCGACCTCTGCACTCGCAGGGGCGGGGGGCTTAGCCCGGGCCCGCCGAGCGGCTCGTCCGAGCCAGGTGCTTGCCTACAGGCTGGGCCAGGTCGTGGGATCGCTCCATCCCAGCCTGGGCGGTGCCGCTCGAAGCACGGGGGAGAGAGGGGGGCCGGCAGTTCGATCGCAAGGCAGAGGCAAGGCGAGGCAGCTCAGCAGGGACGAGCTCCTCGCAGCCTCACGGCAACCCGGAAAGCCGCCCGAGATCTCGAGGTCGCTCGGGCAGGCAGGGACGAGGCAGGGGAAGGAGGAAGGGTCGGCGGCGCGCACGAGGGGGCGACGCGAGGGGGGCGGCCTTCTAAGAAGCCTGGGGGGGGGGGGGGCAGTCTGACAGGCAGGGGGGCCTCCTGGAAGCTGTCCTGGCTTCTTGGAGGCCTTCTTCGAAGCCTCTTTTGAACGAAGGATTGCAAAAAAACCTTTGCAATCCCTTGCAATCCTTCCTCCTAGAAGCTATCCTGGCTTCTTGGAGGCCTTCTTCGGAGCCTCCAGGCCCGTCCGAGGAGGCCCCCCCAGCTTCTCGGGAGCAGCTCGCCCTCTTGGAAGGCCGCCCCCCCCGAGTCGCCGAGAGAGAGAGAGAGGCGGGTCACGTGGAGAACGAGGACCCGCACCGCAGGTCGCTTGGGGGAAGAGAGCGCCGTGCCAGAACAGATCTCCGCGTCCATCGCCTCGGAGTCGTGCCCCGGGATCTCTAGAGGAACATGAGCCGCATAAACAGGAACTTTGGGAGGGCCGCGCGGATCTCTTGGATCTGCGCTGGACCCCCCTCCCTGGCTCGCGGAGCACGCCAGGGGCGGCGCTGGAGGCGCCGCCACGGGGCCCAGCGCCGATCCGAGAAATCCGCGCGGAGCTCCGAAAGTGCATGTTCATGCAACGTTTTCCTCTTCGAATCTCGAGGACCTCTCGCGGAGTGGAGGACATGGATGTCTGCTCGCCCTTGAGGGCTGGAAGGGATCCACACGCACCGTTCCCCAGGGATCCAGGGCAGGACTCCAGCAGCTGCGAGTGTGGATGTCTCCCGGCGGTTCCGGGAGAGGGAGGCGGAGAGGGAGAGGGAGAGGGAGAGGGAGAGAGAGAGAGAGAGAAGCTTCCCTTCAAAATGGGAGGGAGGCGGAGAGGGAGAGGGAGCGGGTTCAGGGAGAGGGAGGCGGAGAGGGAGAGGGAGAGCGATAAGCTTCCCTTCTAAATGGGCCCCTGGACCTGCGCTGGAATGCCCTTCGACACGAGTTTCGGGGCGGATCCAGCCGCGGCGGCGAGGAGTCTCCCGGAGGTGCCGGGGGATTCCCGTCCCCACGGCTGGGCCGAAGACCATCGAGTAAGAAGATCTGCATAACAATAATTTGTCGGGGTCCGCGCGGATTTTTTGGATCGGCGCTGGACCCCCTCTCCCTGGCGCGCGCCGGAGGCGCCGCCACGGAGGAGGCCCAGCTCCGAAGCAAGAAATCCGCGCGGAGCTCCGAAAGCTTATGCTCACGTTGCTTTTCGTCCTCGAGGGGCGGAAAGAGGAAGAGAGAGAGGACGGGCCAGGAGGAGGACAAGGAGCAGGAGAGAGGAGGAGCGAGAAAGGCCCGGCCGCCGGCGGGGGAACCCAAAACTCTGACGTCGTGATGTTTGTCACAGCGTGGGCCCCCGGAGATCTGGGCCCCGTCCCGAGGGTCAGCGCTTCTCAGCCACGCGCAGATTGGGGTGGGGGGAGGGGGGAGGGCTTCTTAGAAGCACCCCTGCTTCTTGGAAGGCGCGGGCCTTACAGATGTAGATAAGGCCAGCGCCTTCTAAGAAGCAGGGGTGCTTCTAAGAGGCCCTCCCCCCCTCCCTTCACCCCCTTGTGCGCGCCGCCAAGTTTCATCCTGAGTCGTTTTCTGACGTGGCGAGGCCCCCCCGTGGCCAAAAGTCGCCCCCTCTCGCAGCGCGGGGAGGCGGCGGCAGGACTCGGAGGGATCCTGCCGCCTCGACTGCGGGGAGCTCAGCGCTGTGGCCCTGGCTCGGCTCTCTGGCAGCCGCTCGGGGAGACCTGGGCACCTCCCCCCCGAGCGCTCCCAGCACGGCGCAGCCGCTGAAACGCATCCCGAGGCTGGAAGCACGCCGAGAACCGACGAGAGCGCGCGAAAACCCCGAACCTCGCTCGAACCCCCCCACCTCTCCACAGCGTGAACCCCCAGAGATCTGGACCCCTTCCCCAGGGCCGACCTTCCCTCCCAAGTTGCCCTCTGACGCTCCCCGGGCCCAGCGAGGGCCCCCCCGAGGCCGAGAACTGCGATATAGAGCACCCGTCGCACTCTTGCCGCCACAGAGGCGAGCAGGAGAGGGCCACCCCGGCCCTCCTGTCAACGCCGTCGACTGCGGGGAGCTCGGCGCCGACTGCCCGCGGGAGGGTCGCACCGAGCCGAGGGCAGCCAGCAGGTCGCCGCAGGAGCAGCAGCCCATCTGCGCGGCCACGGACGGCGGCCCCACCGCAGGGGCACTGCCGGCGCCCGCCGCCCCGCCTGAGCCAGGCGAGGTCGGACGGGAGGCAGCTCCCGGGAGGCCCGAGGGCGGTGCCCCCGGACCTCCGGCGGCTGGAAGAACAGTCCGTGCGGAGGGTTTTCGCCGCTTCTGGCCTCCGGGGGGCCCTCGCCCGGGCCTGGGGGCGGTGGAGAAACGACTCTGGACGAGAAACCGGTTCCAGGGAAAGGGTCAGGGCTTCCGGAGACCCCGCATTGAAAAAATCCGGACGTCGCATGGCTGGGACTCCTGGGAAGGGCCATGAGGCCAGATAAGGCCAGATAGAGGCCAGGAGTAAGCAGGAGTAAATGGCACTAGAACCATCGCGCGCGCTTCGCGCAAACTCAAGTTCTAGCTAGGCTTGATCAGCCAACTCATGTAATCTCATTTTGGTCGCTTCTTGCGTCCAAGGACTCCCTTGGAAGCCCTGCTCAAGCCTCGGAATCGTATCGAAGGGGAAGTGCGGAAACGCAGAAATCATAAATTTTCCTTAGGTATTCAGCGAGTTGGGGCCCTCAAAGGCTTCCTGGGTTCTTTTTTGGGAGGTGAGGGGGGTCTGAATTGTGGTCTGTTATGCAAGAGTAGACCGGGGGCCAAACTTGAAAAAAAAGGATTGTGAGATTTACATGTTTTTCCCAGTTCCTCGGCGCTGTTTTTTGTTTGTGCCTCGCGGGTTTTGTTAGCTGGGCCCCTCAGGGGCGTGGGATCTTCCAGACCCCCTGGAGCTTCTGGAGGCCTCCTGGAGGCCTGGAGAGCCGCCGGAAGGGTGTCTCGGGCTGCGCGGGAGCGTGTTGGGCCGTTCTTTACGTTCTGGCGGCTCCTTGAGGTCGTCATGGGCTGTCCTTCGGCGTCTTCCCCCGGGAAGCCGGGAGACGCGGTACCGGCCAGATGTCAGGGGATGTGTAGGACCCCCGAGTAGGAGTTCCACTTAGCACAAAAAAAAAGAATTCTGGGAATTCCCTTTTCTCTTTCTTCGGGAAAACGTGAGAAGGCGAAAAACATTAGAAAAACCATTGGAAATCAACGATGTTACCCTCTTTGGGCTCTCTCGGGGCGGCTCTCGCAGCTCTCTTGGACTGTTCGTGGAGCCTCGTCGGGGTCTCTTTGGGGCCTCTCAGGGATCGGGGGGGTGTTGAGGGCCTCTGGGGAGTCCTGGAAGCCTCTCGGAGGTCTCTGGAAGCCTCCTGCTCCCGCTCTTGGGCCCATCTTGGGCCTGTTCTGGGATGGTCTGGGGCTGTGCTGGGCGCCTCTTCGGCAGTCTTGGAGCCTTCTTGGCCCGTCTTGGGGCAGTCCTGGGGGTCTCTTGGGTGGTCTTGGGGCGGTTTTGGGAGCCTCTTCGGCGCTCCTGGACCGTTGGAAGCTCGAAAACGCGGGAAGCCAAAAACATTGAAAAAAAAAAAAAAAACTGGTGAAAATCTACGATTTTGGCCTCTTCGGGCCGTCCCATGACACCTATCAGACTTCTCTTGGGGTCTCTTGGAGGCCACCTGGGAGCCTCGAGAGAGCCGTCGGAAGGCTGACTTGGGCTGCTTGGGAGCGTTTTGGGCCATCCTTTCGCATTCTGGGGGCTCCTGGGGGGCGTTTTGGGCCCTCCTGCAGCGCTGTGGAGGCTCCCCGGAAAGGCTGGGGGAGCAGTACCTCTTTTGGGGTCTCTTTTGGAGCTTCTTTTGGTGTTTTTTCTGGTCTCATGGGGCCTCTTGGGGCTTCTTGGGCGCTTCTTGGAGCCTCTTGGGGTCTCCTGGGGGCCTCTTGGGCCAAAACGCTCGAATCTTCGGTTACTCAGCCCTGTCTTGGGCGCCTCTTCGGCAGTCTTGGAGCCTTCTTGGCCCGTCTTGGGGCCGTCCTGAGGGTCTCTTGGGTGGTCTTGGGGCGGTCGTGGGAGCCTCTTCGGCGCTGTTAGACCAGTGGAAGCTCGAAAACGCGAGAACCCAAAAACATGGAAAACAACCAATGAAAATCTACGATGTTTGCCTCTGCGGGCCGTCCCGGGACGCCTCTCGGACCTCTCTTGGGGTCTCTTGGAGGCCACCTCGAGAGCCGTCGGAAGGCTGACTTGGGCTGCTTGGGAGCGTCTTGGACCATCCTTTCGAATTCTGGGGGCTCCTGGGAGGCGTCTTGGGCCCTCCTGGGGCGCTGTGGAAGCTCCCCAGAAAGGCCGGGGGAGCGGTACCGGGAGCGTCCCCGAGATGTGGCGAGGAGGTGTGGGACCCGGGGACGGGGGGGGTATTAATTTTGATACATAGAACTGCGGGCGCGCTTCGCGCGCGCTTGGGTTCTAGCGCATGCCATGGCGTTGTTAGCTGCGCGTGCTTTTCGGACACGCTTATTCAATGCCTTGCCTTACCTCGTTCTCCAATATTCCTTATACGTCCTTCCTCGTTAGCCCTCCAGACTCTCTCGGTTGTCCTCGCGTTTCGTTTCTCGTTCTTATCGACGGCCTCCTCTTGCTTGGGATTGTGCGGGGGCTTCTAGCTGTTCAGGGCCGGCGTGGGAAGATTTTCAATCTGAAGTGGGCTGGCTTGAAATGTACGGGTCTCTTGTGGATCTTCTTGTTTGGGCTACCTTGAAGGCCTTGGGGCCCGCTTGGGCCCCTCTTGGGCTCTTCTTCGAAGTTGTGGGGCCGTCTCGAGCCTCGGCGCCATGTGAAGCTCTCCCGAAGCCATCCGAAGGAGACGAGCGTGAGATTTACTGAATATGGAGAAGCCTGAATGGCTTTTGCGTGTGTGGCTCTCTGGAGTCATTTGGGAGGGCCTTTGGGAGTTCCACTGGGGCATCTTGTGACCCCTGGGGGCCGTCTTGAAACATCTTGGAGCGTCTTGAACCACGAAGGGGCTATCTTGGCGGCCAGCGGGCGTCCTCCTGAACCAGCTCGGAACCCTCTTCAGGCCGAAAGAATCACCCAAAGACCCCAAAGCGGATCCCGGAGCCAAGGGGGGGCAAATTGGGTCGCGACGGGGGGACTTTGGGAAAAGTGAGCCACCCCAGTGCCACCCCAGGTCCCCTCCCCCATGGGCGGTCACGTTGTCTTCTTCCGTCGTCCGACGTCCGTCGTCCGTCCGCCCGCCATGTTGTGTCTCTATGATAGCTCTGCCGCGGGCATCTTCTCTCGCTTGCTCTGAATAGGGAAGTGCCTGGGATGCAGCGGCCAGCGCTGTACATGAGCTGCTACCTTGGGCTGCAACTCGCTGGATACTGCTGCGTGAAAGGCGCTGCTATCCTGGGCTGCAGCGCCATGCAATTGAATACCCCAGCATTACTTATCCCACACGGCACTTGAACGAGAGATGGACATGCTTGGTTCGCGCATGAATTTCCGTCCTGGGTCCTAAAAGGATATGCATCTAACCCAAATCCAAAATTCCCGGATTCCTTGGGGCCTTCGGAGACTCCGCGAAACCATTAAGAAGCCGGGAGACGCGGTACCGCCAAGATGTCAGGGGATGTGTAGGACCCCCGAGTAGGAGTTCCACTTTGATGAAAAAAAGAAGTCTTGGAATTCCCATTCTGTTTTCCCGAAATCATCGATCTCTGAGGGTTGGAAGCGGGAAAACGTGAGAAGGCGAAAAACATGAGAAAAAGCATCGGAAATCCACGATGTTACCCTCTTTGGGCTCTCTCGGGACGGCTCTCGCAGCTCTCTTGGACTGTTCTTGGAGCCTCGTCGGGGTCTCTTTGGGGCCTCTCAGGGATCGGCGGGGTGTTGAGGGCCTCTGGGGAGTCCTGGAAGCCTCTCGGAGGTCTCTGGGAGCCTCCTGCTCCCGCTCTTGGGCCCATCTTGGGCCTGTTCTGGGATGGTCTGGGGCTGTGCTGGGCGCCTCTTCGGCAGTCTTGGAGCCTTCTTGGCCCGTCTTGGGGCAGTCCTGGGGGTCTCTTGGGTGGTCTTGGGGCGGTTTTGGGAGCCTCTTCGGCGCTCCTGGACCGTTGGAAGCTCGAAAACGCGGGAAGCCAAAAACATTGAGAAAAAAAACTGGTGAAAATCTACGATTTTGGCCTCTTCGGGCCGTCCCATGACACCTATCAGACTTCTCTTGGGGTCTCTTGGAGGCCACCTGGGAGCCTCGAGAGAGCCGTCGGAAGGCTGACTTGGGCTGCTTGGGAGCGTTTTGGGCCATCCTTTCGCATTCTGGGGGCTCCTGGGGGGCGTTTTGGGCCCTCCTGCAGCGCTGTGGAGGCTCCCCGGAAAGGCTGGGGGAGCAGTACCTCTTTTGGGGTCTCTTTTGGAGCTTCTTTTGGTGTTTTTTCTGGTCTCATGGGGCCTCTTGGGGCTTCTTGGGCGTTTCTTGGAGCCTCTTGGGGTCTCCTGGGGGCCTCTTGGGCCAAAACGCTCGAATCTTCGGTTACTCATCCCTGTCTTGGGCGCCGACTTGGGGCGTCGTTGGGCGGTTTAGGCGCCTCGTGGGCCGTCTTGGCCCCCTCGTGGGCCGTCTTGGAGCCCTCTTGGGGGCATCCTCGACCGGCTTGGGTGCCTCGTGGGCCACCTTGGACGCCGTGGAAGCCCAAAAGGCGATCACGCCAAAAATATCAGCTTCCCCGCAGGAAATCGACGATTTGTTATTACTTGGGGCTCTATTGAAGTGCCTCTTGGGGCGTCTTCGGGGCCTCTTCTGGTGTTTTTGTCGGGTCTCATGGGGGCCTCTTGGGGCTTCTGGGCCCCTTCTTGGAGCCTATTGAAGTCTCCTGGGGACCTCTTGAGCCAAAAGGCCCGAATTTCCCGTTCCTCGTCCCCGTTTTGGGCGCCGCCTTGGGGCGTTCTTGGACGGTTTGGGCGCCTCGTGGGCCGTCTTGGCCCCCTTGTAGGCCGTCTTGGAGTCCTCTTGGGGGCATCCTCGACCGGCTTGGGTGCCTCTTGGGCCGTCTTGGACGCATTGGAAAAGGCGGTCACGCCAAAAATATCAGTTTCCCCACAGCAAATCAACTAATTTGTCTGATTGGGCCACTCTCGGGGTGCCTCTTGGGGCGTCTTCGGAACCTCTTCTGGTGTTTTCTCAGGTCTCATGGGGGC